CGATATTTACGTTAAAGATGTTCTCCGTGGTCGAGGGGTTTAAGGGTCCCGATGACTTCTAATCCCAATCACCTCTCTGGCGTGGGTTTGATCCCCGAGAATGCTTTGGTAGTTTAGCGCGGAGGAAGGAAGGGCAGTCTAAGTAACTGGTGTAATACTCCAGGAAACGATGGTTAAAGGAAAAACTAAACCCGCCTATATGATACTGAATTTACTGTAGGGAAAAAAGGCGGTAAAATGAAACAAAAAACAAAGAAAAAATTAGGTTTTTTTTTTATTGCAGTCAGTAAATACAATGCTGACATTTAATCTCTGACACCAGAAGCTTTCATGACAAACCTAACCCAACCCAATATTAGAATCTTTGGACCCTATTCCCGGGAACTACTTTGCCTTTGAAAAAAATTAATGTGCCTGTCATTTGACAAATCTTGAACGCATTGATCTCCCCTGAATTTTTTTCGGCGTTGTGTACCTATAAAGGGTTTAGTAACCGGGCTTAAAAAAGTGGACTACTTTAGGCATTAGCAATTAACCGCCATTTGGGCTCTGAAAATATCGCTACCATTATTTGTTGGTCTGACGACCCAAACAAATAAAAAAAACCGACAGTTTTAGAAGACCTCTAGGTTAAAAAAATTCAGTTAAACATTCAATTTGGAATTTGATTCTACAAACCTCTCAACGGTTTTGTTTTATCCCGAAACCAAAAGCCTATGTTTTAAAGCATGTTTTATAAGAAGACATAGGGAATGACAAATAACAGTTTATTCTTCTAGGACATATATTTACCATAAACTATAACTGTTAAAAAAATTTACTAAAGTTAATGTTTGGACATGGCAAAATCTTAAAGCACTCTTAATAATAAGTTATGAATCTCGTGGCAGGTTTTAACACCCGGTTTTTTTCTTCCTTTGCCCTATCGTGGACAAAATCACGAGGATTTTAAATTCACGTTTAAAATTGGCTTTCCCCAGGTGGGCCAATAAACTATTAATACAAAGATTGATTATTAGTTTTCTCTATGTATCCAATACGATTCCGCCCCCACACCTACCGTTATTGGAACCGACGGAATATATAACGAAATCAACGATTACCACTATATGTATTTCAATAACGTGCCTCTTAAGCATAAATCTATTTTGTGATGTTCAACCTAAACTAAACTATCGAAAGTTTCTTAACCAAGAAAAAAGGAAAAGGTTTTGGTATTATTCATACAAATTTACTTTGATATGCACGTTATCAGCTTCTATACCTTGTGCCAACCATTCACAAGTTACCTGTATGTCTGTCTTATCAGCCATTTGTTTTTATAACAATTACAACGTGTAGTCACGTGATTATCACAAAAGAACAGGGAGAACAGGGAGAAACTGTTTATAATAAATAAAATAATAAAACAGAAGAGGTCTCATCAGATATTTAAACAACCAGATGATTTAAAAGTGTCATTTGATAAAATAGAATAGGTCTCATAAGATATAAACAACCATATAATATAAAAGTGTCATTTCAAATATCACGATTGATTTATTTATCATAAAAAAGCAACGCTTGACACTTTGAAAAAGTAAAAGTATCTCTAAATTCAATGACTTATCCATAGGGATACATCATTGATTCATTTTACAAAAATTGTAATGTTGCTTTTTAAGTTGTCAATATTTGAATATTTGGAGCAACGTTTTTACATGTTTGAATTTTTTAGATTACTGACAAACAGCTGTGGTCTTCATTTGTCCAATAATCGAAATGCTTTTATTTTCAGATTTTAAGGCCTTCTCCTACCATAGGTATAATATTAAACTGTTACAAATATAGTCGCAGGTTTCTACCGGCGACTAATAAATGTATGTATTAAGACGTATACTTTCTATCATAATAGAAAAATACAAGCATAATTTAGATTCTCGCTAAACAATATTAATTTTATTCAGATTACATGGCTTACTTATAAGATACACTCACTAAGATGTTACTAAGGCTCAACCAATATGGTTTCTCCAGCTATACACACGTAAAAATATAAATTTCAATATTTAATAGCTAAATGATAAATATCATACAATTGATGTGCTTTTTCCAAACACTTGATGTAATTTCTGATATGTTTGCGTCATGTACCGGTAATACAAATGTAGGACAATGCATATTGTATAAAACCTTAGTGATTTCCGGCCTTGATTTTTAGTAGCTATGTGTGTTGGAATGTGAACCTTTAGCCATATGTCTGTAACATACTTTCTGATTAATGTAGGTTGTAGTGTAGTGTAGATTAGTGGCTTTATGTTGTGCTAAATATTTCTAATCTTTCCATTATAAGAGTAAATAAAGTTACAGTATAGAAAATGATTTTATTCTGACTTGAATATTGTACATAAAAATACATGCAGTATAATACATCGATCAATATGCATACAAAATACACTTTAAACAGCAATTTTACAGAAATTAAAAAACAAGAGAGCCATGAGGGCCCTGAAGTCGCTCACCTGTATATAAGCCCCCAGAGCGGGGCCAGTTTAAACCCCAGGGCTTTTATTTGAACAAACTTGGTAGAAGATTGTTCATGCTTAATATCTAAACTCTAGCTATTTGGCTTTTTTTCAAAGAAGAATTTTTAAGCTTTTGCTATACACATATAAGGAAAATCAATGACCCCTGGGGCGGGGCCAATTTTGACCGCAGGGCTTTTATTTGAACAAACTTTGTAGACACCCATTAGAAGATATTTCATGCTTAATATCTAAACTCTAGCTATTTTGGTTTTTTTCAAAGAAGAATTTTTAAGTTTTTGCTATACACATATAAGGAAAATCGATGACCCCGGGGTGGGGCCAATTTTGACCCCAGGGGCTTTATATTTGAACAAACTTTTTTGTAGACACTCACTAGAAGATGTTTTCATGCTAAATATCTTAAAACTCTAGCTATTTGGTTTTTTTCAAAGAAGAATTGTTTATGTTTTTGCTATACACTATCAGGAAAATCAATGACCCCCGGGGCGGGCCCCAATTTTGACCCAGGGCTCTTATTTTGAACAAATTTGGTAGACACCATTAGAAGATGTTTTATGCTAAATATCTTAGGTCTAGTTCTCTGGGTTCTTTAAACAAGATTTTTTAAGTTTTTACTATATGCATATAGGGAAAAATCAATGACCCCTGGGGCAGGGCCAATTTTGACCCCAGGGCTTTTATTTCAACAAGCTTGGTAGACACCTATTAGAAAATATTTCATGCTTAATATCTTAGCTCCTTGGTTTCTTTAAAAGAAGATTTTTTAAAGTTTTTACTATATGCATATAGGGAAAATCAATGGACCCCCCTGGGGCGGGGCCAAGTTTTTGACCCCAGGGCTTCTATTTGAACAAATTTGAAAGACACTCACTAGAAGATGTTTCATGCCAAATATCTAAGCTCTACCTCTTTGGGTTTTTTAAAAGAAGATATTTTAAGTTTTTTCTATCGGTTTCCATGGCAACCAGAGTTCTGCATAGAATTAAATTCTTTGAACAATTTTTAAAGGTTATCACCAAAGGAACATTCCTGTGAAGTTTGAATGAAATTGGCTTAGTGGTTTATGAGGAGATGTCATTTAAAGTAAAATTTTACGGACGGACGGACGCCGGACAGACGCCGGACAAAAAGCAAAAACAAAAGCTCACCCTGTCACTTTGTGACAGATGAGCTAAAAATTATAACATGCTTTTCGGTGGTTTATAGAAAATTTCAGTGATATAAAACTGATAACTTCACTGTTTTAAACAGTGAAATTATCAAATTGATAATTTCACTGTTTAAAACAGTTTTGAATTTAATTAAGCCCTTACGTTGTTTCAGTGAAATACCTGCGTGCACAGTACTGGGAACCAACTTAATGACATGACGTCGTAAATGATGTCACGTTGTATTATTATTAGGCCATTTTCATCCAGTATTATGTCTTTTTTTTAACGTTTCTTTGCATATAATAAAAAGAAAATTTGTTAAGTTTAGTGTAAGATCTTAATATATTTCACCTTGTGAACACCAAAAGTCCATATTTCACTCGTGGCTGTGTGAAATATACCTTTTGGTGCTCACTGTGTGAAATATATTTCGATCTTACACCGAACTAAATAAATATCCTCTATGTATTGCAATACATTATTTGTTACACCGACATAAGCTTGCAAAAAAAATAGAGTAGTTGGCATTGTCAAATGTTGTTAGAAAGTAAAAAGAATTTAGATGTAATTGATCGGCTTTTTGCCATTGTCCACATTCATAATTTTATTAGTTGAAAGTCATATATTAGTTAAATAATTATTGCTTTTTCAGATGTCAAATAAATGATTCTTTTCGCCAGTATGTAATGTCATATGTTTATTCAGAGAACTTCGTTGAGAAAATGATCTATCACATATTTTACATTAATAATTTTTCTCCCCATTGTGTATTGTCATATGCCTGACCAACGGACTTTGATGAGAAAATGCTTTATCACACATTTCACACCTATATTTCTTTTCGCCAGTGTGTATTGTTATATGCGTTTTCAAACTACTTTGTTGTGAAAATGCTTTATCACATATTTTACATATATGATTCTTCTCGCCTGTGTGTATTGTTATATGGTTGATCAAACTACTTCGGGAAGAAAATGCTTTATCACACAAGTCACATCTATGATTCTTGTGACCTGTGTGTATTGTCATATGCCTTATCAAATTACTTTGACGAGAAAATACTTTATCACATATTTTACATATATGATTCTTCTCGCCAGTATGTATTGTAATATGCTTGATCAAATAAATTTGTTGAGAAAATGCTTTATCACATATTTTACATATATAATTCTTCACTCCAGTGTGTATTGTCATATGTTTATTGAGAGAACTTTGATGACAAAATGTTTTATCACATAGTTTACATCGATGATTCTTGTTGCCAGTGTGTATTGTCATATGTGTATTGAGAGACTTTAGTTGAGAAAATGCTTTGTCACATATGTTACATACATGATTTTTCTCGCCAGTATGTATTGTCATATGTCTATTTAGATTACTTCGTTGAAAAAATTTTGTATCACACATTTCACATTGATAATTCTTCTTGCCAAAATGTATTGTCATATGAGTGATCAAATTACTTCGATAAGAAAATGCTTTATCACATATGTCACATACATGATTCTTCTCGCCCGTATGTATTCTCATATGTCTATTCAAAGAACTTCGATTAGAAAATGCTTTATCACAAATTTTACATACATGATTCTTCTCGCCAGTATGTATTGTCATATGTGTTTTCAGATACCTTCGTTGAGTAAATGTTTTCTCACAAATATAACATCTATGTGTCATTTTACACGGACTGAGCATCTTATTTCTTTGAACACCACTTTTTTGCAATTCAGGTGATAACTTCTCACAAAGTGTGTCTTTGTTTAGATTACTGTCCATCTTGTCAGCTTTTATTTCCTTGCAGGAAGTAAGACCTGGAATTAAAGAAATCATCACATATTTCACTAGTATGATTCACCTTATATTTACAAATTTTAACATTTTACTACAGACACCCAAGGTTTTAAGTTTTGCTTGCACTGTACAATGTACTGATATTGGATTTTCATCTTACTAAGTAAATGCATGTGGAGCTGTCAATTAAATCGATATATTTATGAAATAATAAACTAACATGCTTATTTTAAAAAATTTTGCTGATATATTCTATCAAAATGGCTGAGTGACATCATCAAAAGCACACAACTCCTTCATAAAAGACGCCACAATTTCGTCCTCGGAAAGAACAAAAGTTATTTTATATACATGTAAGATGAATGTTTGTTCCATATGATACTTTAACTTTAAGAATGATCTGCATTCTTTAGATGACCTCATTTCTGCTATAAGAAATATTTTCTAATTTTATGCGTAGTTATAAGGATCCAGTAGAAAGTATAGCATTTTTTCCAGGAAAATGAAATATGCATTGTCTCTCATAACAGACAGGAATATCTGGCTCTCTGAGTAAATTGTACAATTAAATAGCAAAACAGATTCCCTCAGGTCAAAAATTTAAGTTTACACAAGTTGCATTAAGTCTGCAAAAGTTGTGTAAGAGTATTATATTTATATGCGGCAAAATGGTTAGACATTTAACTTGCACAAAAAAATTCCTGCTTGCATATTAGACAGGATTTTTAAACGTCTTCTAAACAATCTCATTTTATATACTCACTTTAAAATGACGCCAGTATGACGCTTTTATTATTGAATATTGCATTCTTAGATCAGAAGCTGCTCTGAGAGAAATATCGTAATAGAAATGTCCTTATCTGAAACAGGATTTATATGAGACATTAAAGAAAAAGGTTGCTACAGATGGGTGTATTCAGCTTTCGGGTAGTTCATGGTGGGAACTCGACATAGCCTTGTTTACACTTTAAATAGTTACGGTAACTTACCATGGGCAAATTGCAAAATATCCATGTATGTACCAAACTCATAATATTGTAAGATATTTGTGGTGAAGCACCGGTTTAAACAGTAAAAACCACTCTCCGATATGCCAGAAAAATGTCTTAACCGCATTTTGTTTGCTACTTTTTAACTGGATTTATCTTCAAATAACATTATATACACACAACATTCCTTACAAATAGATGACTATCATATATCTACTTATATTATCAAATAGTCAAGCTGAAAATAATATTGTTTAAAGAAAATTCTAGGTTCAAAGGGGAGATATTGATAATTCTGAACGTCAAGCTAAAAATTTGACCTTTTAAAAAATCTAGAACTAAACACCATTTTAAGGTACGTTACAGATTAAGCTCTTGGGAATTGCACGTTATGAAACAAGTACAATCTTTAAAGTGTAATCTGCTACAATAAATGTAGCAATTTGTCTGAGTAAATTTCTAATTTATAAGAAAACAAGAGATTTTTTACCTTGATATTATATAATTCGATAAACATTCATATAAACACATTCTTTTATCAAATACAAATAAGACAATTCATTATTGTCTCATCAACAAATTCAATCAAGAGTTTTGTTTAACACAATAATCATTACAGTAGTAATATTCAATCATCATCAAGCAAATGTACAAACATTAAGGTAATCTAGCCTATACAAATTAATTATTGTACAGTTAGTTATACAAACACAAATGAGGAGGGATAGGAGTGTAATTGTGATCTACTTGCCATACAAATACAGTTAAAATGAACTTAAACTTTTAGCGATAAAAAAAGACAAAAATGTTTACAGTACCATCAAAAATATAAGTCACAAAAGATAATTAATTTATGTTTAGTTCAAAATAAACAAACTTATGTATATCTACATTTTTGCATGGAATTATCCATACAATGATATTTTAATTATTTTCTTACAAAGAACTTATTCCCTGCGGGCCGGAGCCCGCAGGGTATTGGTATGCGTTTAACTTTTGAGGCATGGAGGAGCATGTGACCTGTTTTCGGTACATGGAGGATAAGGCTCCCACGTTTACAATTTTTTGTAAACGTTTACACGATTGCTAAGAACCGAAACGATACCGTTTAAACGGTGGTACCTCTATGTACTATACACACCATGTATTTGAGTCGCCAAATGATGTCTTAAATTCTTTCTATCTTTTACACATGTACAAATAAAGAATGCGCAGGGCATGATTGAGTCAGCACACATTTTTTGCATTGTAACCCCATTTTTACCAAAAATGTATTATGACACGAGCAATTTTGCACCGTAATGCTGTGTGGAGGGCTGTAAACACCTATTTTCCGTTTGTTTACTTTGGAATAAACCACTAGAATTGATAAAATTCATGATTACAGGCAACATTAAGAAATTTTGTAAGACAATATGGTCATTTCGATTAAACGGTAAACAATTTCGTAAACGTTTATGAATGAAAATCGAAACGAATCCGTTTAAACGCGTAATCGTGGGGGCCTTAATGGAGGAGCATGTGATCTGTAAACCGTACATGATTGGTTTACTGACCTATTAGAAAACCGAGCTAAATACGGTTTCCCGGTACGTTACGGATTTACATCCAGGGAATCATTGTATGGTCTCAACCCGGTACGGAATAAGACCCAGCCCATTGTAGTCTAGAAAGTAGTTCTTTTAAATTTTGAAATGGCTTATTTCAAGTCATCTTAATTGATACTGGTTATATTTTAAGTATATCTTTAGTAATTGTGTACATAAAGTTTCATTTCTGAGTACTTTAAAGGTTGTTTTTGATGTATTTTTGCAGGATTTCATTTCTGGGTGGAAGGTTTCAGGAAGTACTATGCACAAGAATACACACCAGTTCATATTTGGAATATTCTATAGTGATTACAGAAATCAAAAGCCGCAGAAAAACTCCAAGGGCTAATGTATTATTTTGTGCTAAATTTACATGGACTGCATTGGTGTTTAAAGAAATGGTCATGAAGTTTCGGTACCAGATTTGCTTTGTCCAGAATTTAGCCTTAAATGTGATGGATTTACTATAGGATATATATTACGAAAATTCAGTGGGCCGTCTCCGTATACACACCGGTCTCTCAAATGACCGGTGTACACAATGCTAGGGAATTAGTCCGAATTACACCTGATTAAGAACATAACACTATTACGTGATGTTTCTAATTTTCTATTATTATTTACCGTTTAAGGTGGAGCATGATGTGTTTGAAAATTATCAATGTTTCTTTAATATCTATCTGAAATTTTACAAACAATAAATTGTTTATAGTGAACATCCACAGAATTAAAACATTCGTTTGTGGCATCTGCCATAATAGATAGAGATATTTTCTGCGTAAACTTGTTTGTTTACTTTACTTTATTATTTTTTTGCACGGAATTATTCATACAATGGTATTTAATCATTTTTTAAAACAGAAATATTGTTTTATTTTCGACGTAGACAAAAGACCTTCTTCTATTGATTGATTATTGTCAATTATATTCCTGATACAAACGTTAATTTTTTTCTATTTTTCCCCCAAACAATGTTGAAAATAGTTAAATGAAATATCTTTAAATCATTATAAATGTTCCCCGCAGGAAACCATTTAACTTGTTTCTTAATAACTTAGTTCGTTATTATACGCCCAAGAGCTACATGTATGTACAGAAAATACTGGAAAACGGTGTTTAGCTAGGTTTTCTAATTCGTGAATAATAAATGTTTGTACTACTCTCACAGAAAAATAATAAGATGATTTTTTATTCAAAGGCTTCTATCAAATGAAACTAAATCTATAAATATTAATCCTTCTTTTACCTGATATAATTTCTATGAGAGAAAACTGTTAAACGAAATTTTTGTGCAGGGTCCATGGCGATCATTTATCAAAGGGGAGTAACTATGTAAAATTTGGAGGATACGTACTATGGCGGAATCGTACCACTGTATATATGTACATTTTTTGGAGGTTTGGGGTTTCATTTCGAGAATGTGATAAAATGGTATATTATAGTCGTGTATGTTCAAATTTAAATTCATTGAATAACAATTATCATGACCACCAGAGGCTCGAACAATAATCGTATAATTTTATTTATCTTATCTAATAAATTTAGTAATGAAGCTTAACTCATTCATTATACAGTTGAGTTCACACTAAAGGTTACACAAAGTGCACTAGGAGTGCACTAGATGTGCACTACTAGTGCATTTCAAAGTGCACTAGTAGTGCACTAGTAGTGCACTACTAGTGCACTTCATAAGTGCACTTTGTAGTGCACTAGACCTATCATTTGTATTAAGCAGTAACCTTTTATTTCAATGAATAGCAATTTGACTTTTACAAAAAGATAGATACATATAGATATCTGTATAATAGTTTTATATTTTTAACTTTAATGTTGATAAGTGCATAAATAAACAAAATTAATTGACATTTAATTTGATTCTATTTTATTATAATCTGGTAATGAAATATGAAACATTGAAATGCTAGATTCTAATTAAACAAAATTGAGTCAAGTTTTTTTTATATTACACATGTATTTTTTTTTTTTTTTTTTTTTTGGGGGGGGGGGGGGGGGTTGCAAATTATACCAATTAGTTATTTTTGATCTTAACTTATATGGTTGTTTTAGTTAAAGGTTTATGATTTTAAGCATTATAGCCTTTAATACATTAAAGATTTAATATGTTAATAATTGGCCAAATGTCAATTTTATCTCATTTATAAACTCTCTTACCTTCTGAAACTGACATTTACCTAAGATTAATATAAATGATATATATTATTCTAAAAATAAATATTTATATATAATTTATATAAATAATGGTGTTATATTAAGTATTGATATGTGTGGATTAAGTATTGATATGTACCTGTGGGACACTTGTATACTTTAACTGACATGGATATTAACAAAAAGATTAGAAAATCCTTCAATTCCATTTTTTGAGACGACACCAATCTTTTTTTTTCTTTTTTTCATGCATTGTTACATGCAATATGTTTATTTTCATGAGTTTATTATGAGGGCAAAAATATTTCAGTTTTCTTTTTTCTTGTAATGAAATTTATTTGCACGAATACAGAATTTACATTGCCTACCTATATTTATCATCTGCCTTTTGTTATTTACCCTGAGGGGCTCTCTTATCAGCTGGGTACTATATTAAAACACCAATACACAGCATGACTTTTGACACTTCAATCTTCTGTAACTGCTTTCTGCTCATGTAGGATATTTTATAAAAAAAAAAAAAAAAAAAAAAAAAAAAAAAAAAACCCCAGATTTGCATTAAAGTGGAAAGGAAGTTGCAAAAGTTTTATATTCATGTTTAAATATTTTCTTTAAACTATATTTATAATTATCTTCTAAATGTGTTAAAACTGACTAGGTAAATTTGCCAAATCTATAATAAAAAATTATCATTTCCCAGTTCAGAAACTTAAAGATGATTTTAATACAGAATTGCAAGAAATGTGGATAAATATTGATATATGTCTTTTCAGAATAGTTAACACTGATATTGATTTTAAACCAGTTTTTTTATAATAAGATTAGAAAATTCCACTTCAAAGACATTAATGACAATAAAATCTAACATGCGTTTATGCCATTATGATTATTTTTTTAAATTTGATTAAACAAAAATTATAGTCATTTATCTTAGATGTTAATATACGTACCTGCTTACATGTATTTTGGAAAAAAAAGACAGGAAATTTTAAATAAATATTGCATACATCTGCATTTTTGTTATTTACCCTGAGGCCCCTTATATCAGCAGGAGACCAGCAGTTATAATAATGAAAACAGTCGCTGTCAGAAAAATACCAATACACAGCATGACTTGATCGAGACTGTCCTCTTGCATAATAGCATTCCCTTTATACATTAAATTTTCAATATAAAAATCTTAAATAAAATTATCAAATTTATTTAGTTCATGCACAGATATATAAACTTATATATTTAGCTCTATGATTTCATGGAAATAATTTAATAATTTATATCTTTAAAAAGTATGCAAGCATTTCATGGTTGAAAAACATAATATCAGAGTGTAACTATGGATTGTTTTAAAATCAATGAATTAATATTCTCTTTCAGTCTTGAACATGAGGAATTGCCTCTTAAGTTATATATTATTATACAGAGTGGCAAGAAATGTGGATAAATATACAAAATTCCACTTTAGAGACAATAATATATAATATGCATTTATGCCATTATTTTTTTTTGTATATTTGATTATACAAAATTTATGGTCATTTATCTATATGACTAACTGGCCTGAGTGCCAACGCCTGATAAATCCAAGGCTTATGTTTAACATGCAATTTGAGAAAACCAGGGAATTTCAATGCATACTTATAATCCACAAAATTGACTGTTCTTCGTTATTTACCCTGAGGCCCTATTATCAGCAGGAGAGTGGTATAATGAAAACAATCCCATCTCAGTAAAATATCAATACACAGCAAGAGTGTAGGACAAAAGCCCCCCCGGACGAAAGCCCCCCCCCCGTCTAAAAATGACAAGGTGGACAAAAGCCCCCCCCCCCCCCATGAAATTTCACATAGGACAAAAGCCCCCCATCAAAAATACAGGTAGGACAAAAGCCCCCTCCCCCCATCTTTTTTCACTCGCACAGGTGCTCAAATTCATCAAATTTCACACAAACTTTTAAATAAAAATGAAAAGAATTTGTTTTAATGTTTATTTATAATGTATATATTGAAGTGATAAAAAAGTTTATGATAAAAAATTAAATAATGTATTCATGCGATACTGAATTCATAGCTTTTCATATGCACAAACAAGGGTCAGAAAAGTAGTAATGTTTAATCACTTTTTGTAAAGGGATCAAATTAATATCCTAAGCACTATGTCACCTACATGTGATGTCCATACATATCTTTTAAACACATAAAAAACACAACTTTAATACACTATATATAAATTTGATTGACTATGGGGGGGCTTTGTCCTACCTTTACTTTTTTATGGGGGGGGGGGCTTTTGTCCTATGTGAAAATTTCATGGGGGGGGGGCTTTTGTCCACCTTGTCATTTTTAGATGGGGGGACTTTCGTCCGGGGGTGCTTTTGTCCGTATCCACACAGGCAATGGCTTGAGATTTTCCTCTTTAATAAAAGTATTCCTTTTAACATTTAATTTTTTAATATAAAAATCATGAATAAAGTTATCAAATTTATCAAAGTTATTTATTTTATTGATTATATTTTAATTATTTATATCTTTAAAACATATGCAAGCATTACACAGATGAATACTAAATTATCACAGTATATTGATTGTTTAAAAATCTATGTATTAATACTCTCTTTCAATATTGAACATGAGGAATTGTCTCTAAGTTATATATCATTTTAGCTTACATATAAACCTTTCGTTGATTTGTTTGAGCTTATGAAAAAAAGTTTATGTTGTTACAAACTAAATAACCTGGACCAGAATTATCACATTGATTTTCACATTTTGTTATGTATGCAACATATTTCATGTATATAATTTATATCTGACCAGTTGGTATTTCCAATATTATCATTGTTCTATTTTTAGAACATTAACTACATGTATGTACTAGAACTTTCTTAACTGTTGTAGAAAACTCATGCATTATATTAAGATAGAAACTTCTGGAATGTTCTTTATTGTTGAAGTTGCTAGATTATGATTACTTTAGAACATAATAGACTTTTCTGGAATTTTCTTAGTTAATATATATAAAGTGACATTTTTCATTACTTTTACCTTTTAAGTCATCAGTGATCTTTCAAGTCATCAGTTACCTTTTAAGTCATCAGTGATCTTTGAAGTCATCAGTTACATTTTAAGTATTATTCAACTTGGATATTAAGTGATTTATTGGAGCTTGGATTATTTTAAAATCAATTATTCTTGTGGATTTTATTGTGGGAATTTATTCTAAAGTGTTCTTGGATTTAACTTGGATTTAACTGTGCTATTCAAAAAGGATCATTCCAGGATCAGATAAGACATTTTAATTTTACATTTATATTTGGACTTCAAGTATTTGTACACATAATTTGTTATTTTGATTTTCTTTATTAATTTTTCTGTAATAAATTTGTTTTTGTTACAAGTTTGTTGCTGGCTTTTCTTTCTCGTTACGCCTGGCTCGTAACAATTTGTACACTAGAAAAATTGAAATACATGGCCATTAAAAATAGCTTTAAAAACACCTTTTATGTAATTATCCATTACGGAGCATATCTAAATTTAACCTTATTAATTCTATAAATTTAATTTTAAGGGGTATCATTTTACACTAACAGTTAAAAACTGGTTAATAAAAATATGATTACAATAAATATGTTTTTTAATTTTAAGCTTTAACATGATATCACCTAAAATTTTAAAATTTACTTATTTATATTCATGAATAG